GCACTGCACCTCACAGTTGATTTTTGGCTGGTTTGGGGCCTTTTTTGGCCTCCCAGAGGCTTCAGGAAGGTTTTGACAGGCTTTTCAGGACAAAAAACTAGGCCCGTTTTGTCACTTCCGGTATTTCCGGAAAAACAGAAAGTGACGAAACAGGCCTAGTTTTCATCCTGCAGAAGCCTTCGTGGACCCTCTGGGAGGTCGAAAAAGGCCTCAAACCGGCCAAAAATCAACTTTGAGGTGCGCGCGTGCTCAGTGAGGTAAGTTTGCCTGAAGCTCATGTGCTGGCACAAATGGTTCTGCGTGCCACCTGTGGCACACGTGCCATAGGTTCGCCATCACGGCTCTAACCCATCTATTCCCTGCCTCCCGAGTCCCAGCTGATCGGCTGGGTCTTCTTTGGTTGCCCTGCACAGGAGAACGGAGCTGGAAAGCAGGTTAGTTGGGTGGGGAGGGAAGGGGATTTTGCAGCATCCTTCCCCCGCCACACCTACCAAGCCACGCCCACCAAGCCAGGCCCACAGAACCGGTAGTAAAAATTTTTTGAATCCTACCACTGACCAAGAGATAGTGAATTCTAGTCCCACCTTACACATGAAAGCCAGCTGGATGATTTTGAGCCAATGACCAGCAGGAAGAATTATAGTCTTGCCTTAGGTATGAAAACCAACTGGGTGACTTTGGGCCAGAAGTCATGGGCGCTCCATCACTGGTGGCTATTTAAGAAGAGACTGCACAGCCATTTGTCTGAAATGGTATAGGGTCTCCAGATGGAGCAAGGGGCTGGACTAGAAGACCTCCAAGGTCCCTTCCAACCATTAAGCAGTCACCTTTGTAATAAAAGCAATTGCACTGTATTACATGCATGGCATATATGCTTATTTACATTTGATTTCCAATTTCCAATTGACCTCACCTATGCCGTAGAGCAGTGATCCCCAACCTTTCTTATGCCGCAGCCCGGTATCCCCAACCTTTTTTATGGCGCGGCCCAGTACCGGCATTAGCTGGGCGCCGCCATCTTTTTTTGATGAAAAAGTGCTTCCGGTGAGCTTTTCCGGGTAGAAAGCTCACCGGAAGCACTTTTTCATCAAAAAAAGATGGCGGCGCCCAGCAAACCAGCGGCCCGGTAGGACTTGTTCCACGGACCGGTACCGGTCCGCGGACCGGTGGTTGGGGACCCCTGCCGTAGAGGGACAGCCAAAAGCAGGATGTGGCCAAAGGGCCATGAAATACACAGGTCTGTGTTAGGCAGTTGATTGCAACCCCTCCCTTATTTTCTCAAATTGCTGGGATGGCAGTGATGGTGGAGTTTGCTGCTTTTTTTTTTTTTTGCACATTTTTTTTTAAAAAAATATATTTTTCTCTCTTCTGCAAGCACGCAGAAATAACCGTAGAGTTTTATAGGTTGCCATCTTTCATTGGGAGCACAAATGGAAATTAGGTGTCATTCCTTGCTTTTATGGAGGCTTAATCTGCTAGGTAATTTTCCCCTTTAAAAACAAAACAAAAACCAATGCATTTGGCGATTGTACACATTTTATAAACACCATTTGGAAATGTCCAAGGAGAATTTATCTGAAAGAGTTAAATCAGCGATTCTCAAAAATGCAATTCCATGCAGCATGGTGGTGGTTTGCAAAGGCTCGTGTGTTGGTCTCGCATTCATGAGCCACAACCTGCCTCTGACTCCAGCACCCACTTTCCCACAGGCGCCTACAGGTATGACAGCCCATTTATCACCTTAGCCCTCACCTGCGCACATTCCCCATGAGTCCGACTCTCCAGGTCCCTATTCAGAAATAGGGTACTTAGCAGAAGACTTCCAGATAATCGCTCAGCTGGATTACAGTCTTCATTGCAAGGAAGCATGTCGTCACCTAGGCAGAAATAATTTGCCTTTTGCAAGCTCAATAGAATAGACAATTGGATTGGATTGGATTGGAATGGATTTGAAGAATGGAATGGAATGGAATGGAAGGGAAGGGAAGAGAAGAGAAGAGAAGAATGAAATGGAATAGAATAGCATAGAATAGAATAGGAAAGAATAGAAGATGGAATGGAATGGAATGGAATGGAATGGAACGGAACGGAACGGAACAGACCAGACCAGACTATTGGAATGAAGAATAGAGTAGAATAGAATTAGAATTAGAGACTTGGTTGGATCTAGTCCACCACCACACACACACACACACACACCCCGCTCAAGCAGGAGACCCTACACTATTCCAGACAAGTGGCTCTCCCGTCTCTCCTGAAAAACCTCCAGTGATGGAGCACCCACAACTTCTGAAGGCAAAGCTGTTCTCCTGATCAATTCTTCTCACTGTCAGGAAATTTGTCCTTAATTTCCGGTTGCTTCTCTCCTTGATTAGTTTCCATCCATTGTTTCTTGTCCTGCCTTCAGGTGTTTTGGAGAATAATTTGACTCCCTCTTCTTTGTGGCAGCCCCCCCCCTCAAATATTGGAATGCTGCTCTCCTGTCCCTCCCTCCCCAGTCCTTTTCTCTAGACTAGCCATACCCAAATCCTGCAACTGTTCTTCATAGGTTTTAGTCTCCAGATCTTTAACCGTCTTAGTTCGTCTTCTCTGCACTTTTTCCAAAGTCTTAAAAAAGTTTTTTTTTTAAAAAAAAGAAAACATAATATACTGCTGATTTTAACTCTAGATGTCTTCCTGTTCCCTGTCCAACTTGTTTATAGCTTCTGGTTGGCCTTTGATGTGCTCAGATAAATGTCTTCTCTAAGCCTCAGAACTGCAGGTTGTTGCCTCACCAGATTTAGCACTTACAAGCCCCCAAATTTTGAAGACTAGCAATGGTGAACACGTCTCGAGAGCTGTTTCTAGCTATGACTATCTGGGTGCTGGGCCAGTGGGACTTGTGCGCTGGCATGAGCAACCCAGAAAGTCTGAGGTAAGAAACCCAAGGCTGAATAATTGAAGCACGATTTTTCTAGAACATCAGTTAACTCCCGAAGAAGAATAAAAGGACTCTGCTGATTGGAGTTTGCTTAATATCTTTCTGTTTTGGTCCCTGATCAAGGAAATGCCCTTGAAAAACCTCAGAATGGAATATGGGGACTCTTTCCTCTGATGCCAGGGGTGCCAACTGTGGGGTGGTCTTTCCTGGAAAAGGCCTAGGTCTGCACCTCTTCCATCCTTCCTTGACATGTCATGTCACGTCACCTGCAGCCTCGGAGTATAAATAGCAGATTCCCCCCCCCCCTCGCCTGCAGGAAGCTCCCACTGGCAAAGACGTGGGTTGAGAAGAAGCCATAGCTGAGTCTGGAATAATCTGCTTTGCATTCCGAAGAGCTGCAGCCTTTCTTTGATCTTTAAATATTATGAATAGCAGTTTCTGAAGTCATCGTTGGTAAGGTTGGCCGATCTGGATGGGAGGTAGACAGCCACCTTGTATGATGATGGGAGGAGGAGCAGATCAGGGGAACATTCTCTGATGGGACCTGCCCCGGCTAGAGAGGGTGTGAACTTGCTAGCTGGAGACCTTCAGCCTCCTCCTGAAATTGGAATGGTTTTGAGCCACCATACCTGGAGAAAAAAGATGTTCTTCATGCAGTCCAGGGGTCTTCAAACTTGACCTCTTTAAGACTTGTGGACTTCAACTCCCAGAATTCCTCCTCCAGTCATGTTAGCTCAGGAATTCTGGGAGTTGAAGTCCACAAGTCTTAAACTTGCCAAGTTTGAAGAGACCCTTGGTGTAGTCATTCCAGATTGTCCTTTCCCTGCTTCCTTGGAGGAGCTTTTCCCCAGAAAGTCATCTTCTAAGGACTAGAGCCACAAGTCCTATGTGCTGCTGTTCCCAACTACTTCGGACGAAGCTTTCTGGCAATTGTAGCCCAATGGATTTGCAGGAACCCAAGTTAAAGACATCTGGGACAGATAGTGGCTTCAGAGCTGCTCAGGGGCCTTATCACAAATTTCCTTCCTTCCCAAAGTTGCTAGTAAGTTGTAGCCATGACCCTACTGCTCATATCTCAGTTTGGTTCTTTCTTCAAAAAGATAACTGATGTGCTTTTCAAGATTTACATGAAAGTGTGCATGAAGCACTGCAGACATTTGTGTGGTGTTGAATAACTGCTGTGTGGAGGATTGTGTGGGATTGTTACTCTAAGAAACTTTTGTAAGCAGAAGGACCTTTGATCTGTGGATGTTTCCAGAAATGCCCCCACCATACTTCAGCTTTGCTAGATCTCATCTTATGGGGTCCTTGGTGCTCTCTCAGCTGTGTGGTTTACTGGCTGACGTTTCATTACCCAACCAAGTAATGATATCAGAGCCCCGATGATGTTACCTAGTTGGGTAATGAAACGTCTGCAAGAAAACCACCCAGTTCAGAGAACACCAACACCTTCATATCAGTCTTGAGTGGCAAATATTCTCCTTTATAGATCTCAACCTGCAAGTTGGATTGGGGAAACTGGGAGATACTGTGAAGTACCATTTAACTTCACCCAGTGGTGGGATTCAAATTTTTTTACTACCGGTGAGTGTGGCTTGTGAGTGTGGCTGGGCAGGCGTGGCGTGGCGTGGCTTGGTGGGCATGGCTTGGCTTGCTGGGGATGGCAGGGGAAGGATACTGCAAAATCTCCATTCCCTCCCCACCCCACTAACCTGCTTTCCAGCTCCGTTCTCCTGTGCAGGACAACCAAAGAAGACCCAGCCGATCATCTTGGGACTCAAGGGGAGGCGGAGACTAGATGGGGTTGGCGGGGCCAGTCAGAGGTGGGATTTGCCGGTTCTCCAAACTACTCAAAATCTCCACTACTGCTTCTCCAGAACTGGTCAGAACCGGCTGAAGACCACCTCTGGGTTCACCCCCTCATTGCCAACTGGCTGGAGTTGCTGGGAGTCCAGACTATCTTGAGGGACATTGGTACCCCAGTGTCCGATTTTATCGTGATGATTCTGATACTTTTCTCCTCCTTCGTGGAACCTTTTCGCTGTGTCCCCTAACGGCCCTCTCCCTTCTTCTCTTCCAGCCACACCCACTCTTCTGGTTCTATGGCCACTGTGCGGGAATGGTCCTGCACCCGCTGTACTTTCCTGAACCCCGTGGGACAGCGCCAATGCTCCATCTGCGAGGCCCCCCGCCAGAAGCCCGACCTCAATCAAATCTTACGCCTGAGCGTGGAAGAGCAGAAGTGGGCCTGCGCACGATGCACCTTCCGGAACTTTGTGGGCAAAGAGGCCTGCGAGGTGTGTGGCTTCACTCCGGAACCCGGGCCAGGAGGCTCCCCTCTGCCAATCCTCAATGGGGTCCTGCCGAAATCCACCGTCCTAGTGGAACCCAAAGCCGGTGGCAAGGAGGAGGTGCCCCAGATAGAGAGCCCCGTTGAGGACTTGGAGGGGAAGAGCCCCCAAGAGGCAGAGCTGGAGGAGGGCTGGGCCTGCCAACGTTGCACCCTCCACAACACTCCCGTCGCGAATTCCTGCTCGGCCTGCGGGGGCCCCCGCAAGCTCTCCCTGCCCAAGATCCCTCCAGAGGCCCTGGTGGTCCCGGAAATCATCACGCCCGCCGGTTTCCAGATCGCTTCCGCCACCGAGACCCCCGAGGGCCACCCGGCTGCCAATCAAGGCCCTGCCCTCGTGGAGGAAGAGAGCCAGAAGATGGCAGCCTTCAGCCTTTTCTCCCCAGGTCTCCAGAACAACCCTGTTCCTCGTAGCCGCCGAGAGGTGCCCCCGCAACTCCAGCCGCCGGCTGTGGAAGCTTCCCAACCGGCTTCTCCGCCAACCCCTGTGCAGAAGGCCATTCGCTTCCAGGAGATGATGGCAACCAAGCGGCTGAGCATGCTGGAGGAAGAAATGGACGTCAGCGTGCCCTCCTGGCAATGCAGCACCTGTTCACTGCTCAACACCTCGGGGAACGAGGCCTGCGAGGCCTGCAGCAGCCAGAAGGGCAGCGACACCATTGACGTGACGGGGGACTCCGTTCGTTTTACACCCTGTGGGCCCTCCAGCCCCGACTTCACCACCTGGTCCTGTTCCAAGTGCACCTTGAAGAACCCCACCGCTTCCCAGAAGTGCAAAGCCTGCGGCTCCTCCAAACTGCACGGCTTCCAGGAACATAGCTTGCAGCCGGACCCGGCTCCCAAGTGCCCCGAATGTGGCTCTGACAAAGGCAGGTGTGTGGCTTGTGGCACCCGAGCTCCTTCCGCCCGCAAAGTCGCCCGTCTCTTCCCCATTCAGACCCCGGTCACCCCTGACCGAGCCAGCCAGTGGGCGTGCCCCGCTTGCACCCTCCTCAACGAGCTGAAGGCCAAGCACTGCCTCGCCTGCCACACTCCTCAAGTCTACATGGCCCAGCGCAAGAGCATCAAGCCGCTACGGCGGCACGAGAGCATGCACGTGGAGAAACGACGGCAGACAGATGAAGGGGAGGCCAAAGCCCTCTGGGAGAACATCGTCTCCTTCTGTCAAGAGGTGAGTGGCCACCTACACCTCTTGTTTGTAGCATAGATCGGTATTGCTCTATTACACACCCAACTCTGGCTTGGTTACCTGTCCTGACCTTGCTGGCATCCAAGAAGACTATCAAGGTTTCTGGCAGTCACCCCCATTTAAATCATGACTCGCGAGCCAAACTTCCAAAACTTCAAAAGGATTTATTGGGAGTTAACATGCCGGCACAGCCTGGGTGTAGCCGACTCTGAGACACAGCATTCATTTTCACCCTTGACCCTGGTTTTCCCCCCACCCCCTGGGTGTATCATCATTCATATTCTCCAATGGGACACATCCATAGCCCAGAGTCATCAATCATGCTCTCCAGTTAGAATTTTGTGCAGCAGAAACTTCGGTCACCTAGTTACCATCTTTGAAAACATTTATGGAATGCAGTTTTGGTTTGCAAGCTGCTGCCCTGCTGCCCCCTCCCTTTCTTTTCTGTAAAAAGACCATAGAGATATTTTATGAGTTGACATTGACCACGTAGAATTTCTCCTGAGTATTTTCCTTTAAAGGGCTCCGACAGCTCCGTGGTTAAAGACTCTGAGCTTGTCAGCTTGTCAGCTGACAGCCTGGGTTCGAGACCCGAGTGCCATGCAACAGGGGGAGCTCCCGCTCCTTACTCCAGCTCCTGTCCACTGAGCAGTTTGAAAGCAGGCAAATGCAAGTAGATAAATAGGTACCACTTTCAGTGGGAAGGTAGCTGCGTTCGTGTGCCCTTTTGGCATAGAGCCATGCGGGCCACGTTACCACGGAAATTGTCTTCAGGGAACGCTGGCTCCTTTGACCAAGGGACAGAGGTGAGCATCACTTAACAACAACCCTGTTACTAACTGAAGAACTGCAGTGATTCACTGAACAACTGTGGCAAGGAAAGTCGTAAAACGGGGCAAAACCCAGAAAGAAATGTCTCGTTTAGTAACAAAAATTTGGGGGCACACAATTGTGGTCGTAAGTCTAGGATTAGCCTTGTTCCCAACATGGCCCCATCACATGGACACCCCTCCTGCAGGGCCCCCCAAAAAAGTATCAGTCCAAACACCTGGCTGAAAAAACGACTCCCACAATCTTTTGTTTGAGACCCAGGGTGCTTTGGGGGGGGCCTGTAAATAAAAGGACCCCAAGCTCCCTCGGATAGACGTTTCATATCTGTGTCCCCCTCTCTGCTAGACGCAGCTTTTTTCAGCGTTAGCCTGCCTGCCTGCCTGCCAGCCTCTGACTGTTTTGGGAGAAGCCAGATCCCAGACTTATTAATAACTAACCGTACAGAAGCTTTAATGATCAAGGGCTGTTTTATTTCTCCAGTTGCCTCTGGCATATGAAGCCACATCAAACAACGTCTCTGGAAGAGAGAGAGAGAGAGAGAAAATACCCTCTGTCCAGCTTCAGAAAGAGCTGTGCTCGCAAAGAGCGGGGTGACCCTCACACGGGGTGCTTCCTTTGCTAGCTGAATGACGGAGTTGGCATTTTGGAGTTGATTCTTTGGGCTCCCTTGAGCTTTGCGGTGCAATGCAGCACAGGGAGAGGGCCGTTCAGCAGGCGTTCGTAGAGTTATAGAACCATGCGGCTGGGAGGGACCTTTGAAGGTCTCCTAATAATCCACAGGTCTCCAACTTTGGCAGCTTGAAGACTTGTGGACTTGTGTTGGAAGAAAATACCCATCGGGTTCAGTTCTGGCCCAAGCCCTAATAGCAATAGCACTTTGACTTATATACCGCTTTATAGTGCTTTACAGCGGTATAGTGCTCTAAGCGGTTTACAGAGTCAGCCTATTTTCCCCCAACAATCTGGGTCCTCATTTGACCCACCTCGGAAGGAGGGAAAGCTGAGTCAAAACCTTCAGCCTGGTGAGAATCGAACTGCTGGCAGTGGGCAGAATTAGCTTGCAATACTGCATTTTAACCACTGCGCCACCAGGAAGGAGAATGGGAAAGGGAAGAAGGAAGGAAGGAAGGAAGGAAGGAAGGAAGGAAGGAAGGAAGGAAGGAAGGAAGGAAGGAAGGAAGGAGAAAAGGAAGAGCAATAGCAATAGCACTTAGACTTCTGTACTGCTTCCCAGTGCTTTTCCAGCCCTTTCTAAGCGGTTTACAGAATCAGCCTCTTTCCCCCAACAATCTGGGTCCTCATTTTACTCACCTCGGAAGGAGGGAAGGCTGAGTCAACCTTGAGCCTGGTGAGAATCGAACTGCTGGCAGTGAGCAGACTTAGTCTGCAATGCTGCATTCTAACCACTGCGCACCATGGAAGGAAGGAAGGAAAATAGCAATAGCACTTAGACTTATATTCCACTTTATAGTGCTTTACAGCCCTCTCTAAGTGGTTTACAGAGTCAGCCTCTTGCCCCCAACAATCTGGGTCCTCATTTTACCCACCTTGGAAGGAGGGAAGGCTGAGTCAACCTTGAGCCTGGTGGGATTTGAACTGCCAAACTGTTGGCAGCTGGCTGCAGAAGTAGCTTGCAGTGCTGCCCTCTAACCACTACACCACAGAGGCTCCTTTAATAGCAATATCATTTGATATATAATATATAATATAATAATGATTTAATAATGGCCTATTAACACAGGTGAGGGAGGGGGCGGAGTTTCTGCCTCTCCGAGTTTCTACTTCTCTTTTAGGGGAAATATTCTGCCTTTTAAATATATCCTAAAATATTTCATTTCTCTAGGAGAGGGGTGATGGGTTTTAACTTCCAATAAGCTTAGCCAGTGTCCTGCACAGTGGATGAGAGCGGGAGCCAGTTTTCAGGTTGTTGTACGCCTTAAGTCTTTCATGTACTTGAAAAATGTCATCGTCTATCCTTCGCTGATCTTTTTCTCAAGACTAAACATACTCAGATCGCTTTGGGTCTCTCCTTCAGAGATCTGATTTCCAAGCCCCTGATCATCCAAGGTGACTTTCTCTGCATCTCTTCCAGTAAGAATAGCACCCAGAAACGGGGTCAAAACTATCATTAGTAATTTAAAAGATCGCTCGATTTTTTTTTAAAAAAAATAATAATTTAATTGAACAACTTTAATCTAATGTAAAGCAACTCTCATTAAAAAAGAACTCTCCCAGCTGTTTACAGTGAACATATGACTGTGGTTTAAAAACAGTCGGTTAAAACAATAATCAGTGAATAATTAAAGCAAACGGTGAATGAAAACATATGTTTCGTGCAAAAACGCAAAATAAAACAGTGAGATAAATATCAAAACAGGACCAAAAAAAAAAAAAAAAGGAGTTTGGGAGGGGGGGAAACAACAGTAGCACTGACACATTTATTGCGAGGCCTAAGCGAATAAAAAAAGCCAATTGTGTTTCAGTTATAAGTCCCAAAAAAGCACCCCAGAACATTTGATATAAAAGGGCAGTAAAATTAATACCCAGGAAAATAGCAGCCGAGAGAGCAAACAGGCCTCGGGAACCGATCAAAAAGCCTCTGCAAAACAATAATTGATGACCATTCATGAAAATATTTTTTACAAATACAGCAGACTTTATTTCTCATTCCCCTTCTCATTCCGTACAGCGGTTCTTCCATATACAGGTCAGAGGTGGGATTCAGCCGGTTCTGACCGGTTCCATAGAACCGGTAGCGGAAATTTTGAGTCGTTCAGAGAACCAGCAAATAGCACCTCTGACTGGCCCCGCCCCCATCTCTTCTCCGCCCCCCGCCCCCCCCCCCGAGTCCCAGCTGATTGGCTGGGTCTTTTTGGTTGCCTTGCACAGGAGAACAGAGCTGGAAAGCAGGTTAGTGGGGTGGGGAGGGAAGGGGGATTTGTAGTAACCTTCCCCTGCCACGCCCACCAAGCCACGCCCACCAAGCCACTCCCATCAAGTTACACCACGCCCACCAAGCCATGCCCACACAACCGGTAGTAAAAAAAAAAAATGAATATCACCACTAATACAGGTAGTAGTTCTTGACTTACCACAGTTCATTTAGTGACTGAAGTTACAACAGTTTGGAGATTCCTTGTGCAGGGGTAGTCCTCGACTTACAACCCCAACTGAGCCCAACATTTCTGTTGCTAAGTGAGACATTCGTTTACGCGAGTTTCGCCCCATTTTGCCCCCTTTCTTCCCACGGTTCTTAAGTGGATCTGGCTTCCCCATTGACTTCGTCTGTCGGAAGGTCGCCAAAGTTGATCCCATGACCCTGGGAACACTGCAACTGTCATAAGTCCATGCCAGTTGCCAAGCGTCTGAATTTTGATCACATGACCACTGGGATGCTGCCATGGTTATAAGTGTGAAAAATGTTGATAAATCGCTTTTTTTCAGGGCTGCTGTAACTTTGGACGGTCACTAAATGAACTGTTGTAGGTCAAGAACAACCTGTATGTTGGGCTCTTGTTCTCCTAAGTTCCAGTCATTGGTTATCCCAAAGGAGCTTTTTTTTTTTTCAGGAGGCAACTGGACTTTCTTCTTTTTTCTTTTGAAGTTGTTTCACTTCTCATCCAAGAGGCTTCTTCAGCTCTGACTGGATGGTGTGAAATGGGAAGGATTTATACTCCTTGCAGACAGCTGGTCATTTGGTATCCTTTTAGAGGGTCGTTGAGGCCACTTGGAGGTTTGTCTGTGTCCTCAGGGTCACCTGAGTGGTGCAAATGGATGTGGAGCCTTCTTGTGTTCAACACTGAAGGGACACAGGGCAGAAAACATCCCGCAGAAAGCACAGCTCCACAACACAGTCCTTTTCCGCAGTTGCAAGAAGGCTCCACAATGTTTGTACTACTCAGGTTGTCCCTGAGGACGCAGACAAACCTCCAAGTGGCCTCAATGACCCTCTCAAAGGATGCAAATGACCAGCTGTCTGCAAGGAATATAAATCCTTCCATCCCCCCATCATCCAGTCAGAGCTGAAGAAGCTTCTTGAATGAGAAGCGAAACGTCTTCAAAAGAAAAAACACGGAAGTCCAGTTGCCTCTTGAAAAAAAGCACTTTTGGGACAACCATCACCTGGATGATTGAGAATCTCCATAGGCAACCATTGTGCCAACTTATAAAATATTTCTATGGTGTTTTTTTTCGAGTTACCAACAGAAAGGGAGGGGGGGAGCAGTGCAGCAGCTTGCAAACCAAAAGTGCATTCCATAAATAGTTTTCAAAGATAGTAACTAGGTGGCTGAAGTTTCTGCCGAGCAAAATTCTAACTGGAAAACATGATTGATGACTCTTGGCTATGGATGTGTCCCATTGGAGAATATGAATCACGATACACCCAGGGGGGTGGGGGGAAAACCAGGGTCAAGGGTGAAAATGAATGATGTGTCTCAGAGTCAGCTACACCCAGGCAGTGCCGGACATGTTAACTCCCAATAAATCCTTTTTTAAGTTTTGGAAGTTTGGCTCGAGACTCATGATTTAAATGGGGGTGACTGCTGGAATCCTGACACATTGGTTATGTAGCTGAGAAAGGGAAGAACCAGGGGGAGGCCTCCCAAATGCCAGCCTGCCTCTCACCTTCTCATTTATGTAGAGCTTCATCTCCATCAGGAATTGCCCTGACTTCTTCAACCTTGTCCCTTCAGAACAAGGTCAACTTTGTGGATGACAGCTTTCCTCCCGGTCCCAAGTCGGTTGGCTTTCCCGAAGGAGACAGCGTCCAGCAGCGAGTCAAGCAGTGGCTGAGGCCTCACGAAATCAACTGCAACATCTTCAAAGACCGGTCGGTCAAGTGGTCAGTTTTCCGGACACCCCGACCTTCGGATATCCTGCAGGGACTCCTTGGAAACTGTTGGTAAGCAAACCCAAGAGCAGATGGCGTTTGGCGTTACTTCCACCGACAGGCCAGGCTGGCATCCATCACAAACCAAGCGTGAAAGTATGGCTACGGATACAAAAGCAATAGCCCTTTGACTTATAAGTATACCGCTTCACAGTGCTTTCCAGCCCCCTCTAAGCGGTTTACAGAGTCAGCCTCTTGCCCATAACAATCTGGGTCCTCATTTTACCCACCTCGGAAGGATGGAAGGCTGAGTCAGCCTTAAGCCTGGTGGGATTAAAACTGCCAAATTGCAAGAGACCAGAAGGCAGCAGAGGTAGCCTGCAGTACTGCCTTTTAACCACTGTGCACCATGGAATGGAGGGAGGGAGGGAGGGAGGGAAGGAAGGAAGGAAGGAAGGAAGGAAGGAAGGAAGGAAGGAAAGGAAAAGCAATGGCAATAGCCCTTAGACTTATAAACCACTTCACAGGGCTTTTTACAGCCCTCTCGAAGCGGTTTTAGAGTTAGCCTTCTGCCCCCAACAATCTGGGTCCTCATTTGACCCACCTCGGAAGGATGGAAGGCTGAGTCAACTTTGAGCCTGGTGAGATTTGAACTGCCAAATTGCAGACACCCGGCAGGCAGCAGAAGTAGCCTTCTAACTACTGTGCACCATGGAATGAAGGGAGGGAAGGAAGGAGAGAGGGAGGGAGGGAGGGAAGGAAGGAAGGAAGGAAGGAAGGAAGGAAGGAAGGAGGAAGGAAGGAAGGAAGGAAGGAAGGAAGGAAGGAGGGAGGGAGAAAAGGAAGAGCAATGGCAATGCAACTTAGAGTTATATACTGCTTCACAGTGCTTTCCAGCCCTCTCTAAGCTGTTTATCGAGTCAGCCTCTTGCCCCCCAACAATCTGGGTCCTCATTTTACCCACCTCGGAAGGACGGAAGGCTGAGTCAACCTGGAGCCTGGTAAATGTTTTCAGCGGCACGTTGGTATTTGCCCTCGCGTCCTTCCAGGATGCTTCATCAATTCCCACTTTCTTGATATTCCTGGAAGGCTGCTCTTTGAAGGGCTAGCTGCTTTTGACCCTTTCGGTCCACTCAAGGTTGGTCAGATGCTGCCACCTGCTGAAACAGCCCTCTTAAAAAAAGGAAAGACTATAGAGCAGGAAGGGTCAAACTTGCGGTGACATGTCCTCGTCACATGACATATCACCACTTTTCTGCCCCCTCACAAAACCGGGGTGGACATGGCCAGCAGTGTGACGCATCTGGCCTGTGGGCTGCGAGTTTCACACCCCTGCTATAGACAGAGGTTGCCGTCTCATATCACTGATGAGACTTGCATGCTGCTTTACCGGCGAAACCTGAACAATGCAGGTAGTCCTTGACTTATAGCAGTTCATTTGGTGACCGTTTAAAGTTCCAACATCACCGAAAAAAAGGGATTCACGACCGTTTTTCACACGACTGGTGCAGTATCCCCGTGGTCACGCGATCAAAAGTCAGGCGCCTGGCAACAGACTCATATTTGTGACGGTTTGCCGTGTCCCGAGATCATGTGATCATCTTTTGTGACCTTCTGACAAGCAAAGTCAGCGAGTCAAGTGGTCTCACTTAACAACGGGGTTACTAACTTAACGGCAGTGGTTCACTTAACAACCGTGGCAAGAAATATTGTAACATGAGGCAAAACGCACATAACAAATGTCTCACAGAAATTTGGGGCTCAGTTGTCATAAGTTGAGGACTACCTGTGCATCAGTTTTCCCAAGGCGGAGCTTCTCACACTGTTGAGATCACTCAGTGGTCTTAAGGTGAATCACATGACCAGGATCGGCTAGGGCAGGGATGGTGAATCTCTTTGTTGTGCTGTGCCGAAAGTGTGCACTGGCACCCCCAATACAATGCACCCTGCTCCCCCGCGCATGCGTGCGCAACGCCCCTCCTGCCCATTCCCTGCACTGCACATGCGTGCGCCTCCCTGGTGATTTGAGCATTTGAGGCCTTCTTCGCCCTCCTGGAGGCTCGAGGGAAGCCGAAAAATGGGCCCGTTTCGGCACTTCCGGTTTTTCTAGGGAATTCTGGAAGTTGAAGTCCACATGTCTTAAAAGTAGTCCAGGTTGGGAAACTCTGCTTAATGGAATGTGGCCACCCAGCCAGGAGCATTCTCCACAGTTAGGGATCTTCATCCGATGCCCATCTCTTTCAGGTTCCTGAGTGCGCTGGCAGTGCTGGCAGAGCGTCCCGAATTGGTGGAAAGGGTCATGATCACACGGACCATGTGCCCCGAGGGGGCCTACCAAGTCCGGCTATGCAAAGATGGCACCTGGACCACCGTGCTGGTAGATGACATGCTGCCCTGCGATGAGTGTGGCTATCTCCTCTTCTCCCAAGTGGGTGCCATGAATTGGGGAAAGGGGCTGTATCAAGGTGACTGTTGGGGAATGAGAGCTGAGAAATAT